AAAAGCATGAAAAAAAATATATATATATAAAGAAATTTATTCAAAATTTAAAATTAAAAAAATTAAATTTGACATTTAATCAAAATAATAAAAATGAGATCGGAAATTTTGAAGCACGATATTGGAGAGGCAAGTGAAATGTCGTAAAAGTACAGGCTGGAAGGGACAACTTAATGCTAATGGAAAAACAACAACCAAACTCAGCTGCAAAAAACGGAAAACCCGACCCATCTCTATCTTACGATGTTGTTGAACTCCAAAAGAGTTTAGAGTTTAGACTCCCAACGACCGTAGAGTTGCAGAGGAGAGTTGAGTTTACTCCATTTGTCCTTCCCAAACTCCAAATTTGTGTTCAACACAATTCCTATTCTTGGAACACAACTACATATGATACTACACAATTCCTACATATGACCACCACCACCACCAACACCACCACCCGACACCGCTCCTAGTTGAAACTCTTTCTCTGTAAGTTTGTTTTCTCCTTTTATTTCACTTCTCTTGCCCCACTCTTATTGGAATTAACCCATGATTTGATTTACCTGGCTGCAGAAGACTATATGTATCTTCTCTCGATTTATTGGAATTAACCCGTGATTATGCCTTTTGCCTTAGGTCTTAATTCCATTGGAAGCATTCATTTTAATTGTTTATTTTGCAATTTTATTGTCTTTCTGTTTGTGGGTATTTGTGTATTTGTGCCTGTGGGATTGGAAAAGAGTTGGGGTATTGCGCATTGGGGATGTTTCACCATTTGTCGATCTGTATATTAATGGGTTTTGGTTGATTTGCAGTTTTGATACCCGTATGAATGGCTTGGAGAGTGGTGGGGAAGAAAGTAAGTTGCTTTCAATTACTTGCTGTATAGTATAGTATACCTTTCGATATTTCTGATATCTAGCCTCTCATATTTTCGTTTTTTGTGGTTATTCTGATATCTCTGTAAACTCCACACTTTTACTTTCATAATTTTAAATTGGAAATACTATACTCGTCCATATTGTTCATCTTCTTTGATTCAATGATTTTTGGAGAAAAACAGTATACCTTTTATGATTTAAGTTGATTTAGTGATTAAACTATAAGGATAAGAAGTACTTTGCTTCCTTGTGTTATGCTTAATGTTTCATCTGAACTTCTTTTGCAGGGGATTCATCATGCCAGCCTTATTAGAGCTCTGGCTTCAACATCACTGGGGCATGCAGCAGAGTTAACTTTGGCTTCTAGTCTTGGTTCTGCAGTAAAATCAGTTTCATCTGCAGAGTTCTCTGTTAATTCATTGCTATGGGGTCCTCGATATTGCAAAGTTTTGACCACTGATCCTTTCACAAGGTAAATTGGCATGCTTTTCACACTTTCTTTAGAGTGCTTGATTTAGCCAGTCCAAGAAGATACTATTTCCACCTTTTCATTCTCTCTGAGTTCCCCCTTGAACAACCTGTTCAAAGTTCCTTTAGGAGAATTGTGGATGTAGATGGACTTCCAATTGCTTCCCTGTCTTCTTGTAAGATATGCTAGACTGCTTAGTGAAGAGCAGTTACTTTTTGGCTAAAATATATTTTACTTAACTTTTATGTTGACATTTTAAAGTTTTTTATCTGGTTTCCTTGGTCATCTTGTCTCAGTTTTGTGTTGACATTAGTACCTGATTCAAATGGATTTAAATAATTTTTCCTTATCTTATTTAGGTGTTTTCATGCAAGCACAAACCTGCTGACTAGAAGAAGAATTGATGAGCTTTCTGGTTTAAAGATCGCTGGGAGAGAGAAACCAAAAGGAAAGTTTGCCAAGAGGAAAAAGACTGAGCCCCCTGTTGAAGCTCCATATGTTCCTAAACTTAAAAGAATTACCAAATCCTTACAAGAAAAAACAGTTGAAATATTTGGTGGCATGACTCTTGTTGAGCTCGCTAAAAGAACTGGTGAGCCAATAGCTGCTCTGCAAGGTATTCTTGTAAACGTTGGGGAAAAGGTTGATTCAGAGTTTGACACTCTAAATATCGATGTTGCGGAACTTGTTGCAATGGTACTGTCCGTTCTTTGCTGGAGATATTCTATAGTGCTTTTATGCCTTTTACACTGTGGGTGACATGGGTTGGTGTAGAGTGGGTTCCTTAGGTTCTCATCATAGATTTTATGGTATTAATCACACTATTTGACATTAACAGCAGTTTAGTATATATGTAGCATGAGAACTAGCATGCTAACATATGCCTTAAATTGTAGATTTCCCTTCTTCCCTCCCCAACTCTCTTTCATTTTGCTCATAGCTTAGTCTATTTTAAGTATTTTATGCATTAAGTCTACTTTTGGACATTTTTGAGACTTGATGATTGTCATGCAGGAAGTAGGGGTTAATGCCAGGAGGATACATGCCAGTGAAGGTCAGGAGATTCTTCCACGACCACCTGTTGTGACAGTGATGGGTCATGTTGATCATGGGAAAACATCTCTTTTAGATGCATTACGTCAAACATCAGTGGCGGCACAAGAAGCTGGAGGCATAACTCAGCATATTGGTGCTTTTGTTGTGGGCATGACCTCAGGAGCCTCAATTACATTCCTTGACACTCCTGGTCATGCTGCATTTAGTGCCATGCGAGCAAGAGGAGCAGCAGTCACAGATATAGTTGTTCTAGTTGTTGCTGCAGATGATGGAGTAATGCCACAAACCCTTGAAGCCATGTCCCATGCAAAGGCAGCTGATGTGCCTATTGTTGTTGCAATTAATAAATGTGATAAGCCAACTGCTAACCCAGAGAGAGTAAAACTTCAGCTTGCTTCAGAGGGCTTGCTATTGGAGGAGATGGGTGGGGATGTTCAGATTGTTGAAGTTTCAGCAATGAAGAAAATTGGATTGGATAAGTTGGAAGAGGCATTGCTCCTTCAGGCTGAGATGATGGACCTAAAAGCACGCATTGATGGGCCTGCCCAAGCTTATGTGGTGGAGGCTAGACTTGATAAGGGACGTGGTCCGTTAGCCACAGCAATAGTAAAGGCAGGGACTCTGGTCTGTGGGCAGCATGTGGTTGTGGGCTCTGAGTGGGGTAGAATAAGAGCTATCAGGGATATGGTGGGGAGATTGACAGAGTGGGCCAGACCTGCAATGCCAGTTGAGATTGAAGGGCTGAAAGGCCTACCAATGGCTGGTGATGATATTGTGGTTGTGGAATCTGAAGAGCGAGCTAGAATGCTCAGTGAAGGGAGGAAAAAGAAATTTGAAAAAGACAGACTCAGGAAGATTAGCGAGGGAAGGGAAGAAGCTTTGGAGCCATCTGAAGATGTGCCTCAGAGGGTTGAAATGCCAATAATTGTAAAAGCAGATGTCCAGGGCACCGTCCAGGCTGTCACAGATTCATTGAGAACCTTAAATAGTCCCCAGGTATGCCAAAAGATTAATACTCAATACATCCTGGATGTTGTTGCTTTATTATGGTTTTGCTTGGTGATGTTTGTTTGGCCTACCACATGTTAGTTATGTCCCTTGTTTCTATTGCTACATGACTATAAAATTCATTCTTGACATCCCTGCATATAACAATGAATTTTCTGACCAAGGGAGAAGCATGCCAGGGAAGATTAAACAAGAAAAGAAAATGACTCTGGTCATAGAGATTGTTACTTGTGTCCTCTCAATCAATGCTTTCTTTCTGATACATTCTTCGAATTTTTCTATCAGGTTTTGGTGAATGTAGTCCATGTTGGTGTGGGGCCTATTTCACAGTCTGATGTTGACTTAGCTCAAGCATGTGGTGCATGTATAGTTGGGTTCAATATAAAAAGCCCCCCTAGTACTGTCAATCAAGCAGCCACTCAAGCCAGTATAAAGGTAATAATCAGCTTGTGCTTGTGCTCAATCTGAATCTGAGTTCCCTTGCAAGGATGCAAAATTCATTTTTAACTGTTTGTTTTTCCCTGACAAACACTTTAAACCATTCAAAGATTACAGAAATTTATTATAGTGATATTTTTGGCCATGGGCAGTTGATGATATGTTCAAAAAATCTCTTAAAAGTTAGTTCAGAAAGATGAAGAAAGTGATTCGCTTATATTGTTTCTTCGGATTGCTGTAGATAGTGTTACATCGGGTGATCTATCACCTTCTGGAGGATATTGGCAAATTGATAGTGGAGAAGGCCCCTGGCACTTTTGAGACTCAAGTGGCAGGGGAGGCTCAGGTGCTGAATATCTTTGAGCTCAAAGGAAGGAGCAAATCCAAGGGAGATGATGTGAAGATTGCTGGTTGCCGGGTGATTGATGGACGTGTCACCAAATCATCAACCATGAGGCTTTTGAGGAGTGGAGAAGTTGTATTTGAAGGGTCTTGCATATCACTAAAGCGGGAGAAGCAGGACGTTGAGGCAGTAGGGAAGGGGAATGAGTGTGGACTTGTGATTCGTGATTGGGATGATTTCCAGATTGGAGACATCATCCAGTGCTTGGAGCAAGTAATTAGAAAACCCAAGTTCATTTCCTCAGAGAGTGGAGCTGTTCGAATTGAGTGTTGAAGGTACATCACATTGAAACCTTTAACATAACGTTCACCATCAAACTCAATAATTTTCCTTTTTTCATCAACTGTCTGCTACTGCATTGGAGATTTTTGTCAAATTGTATTCTTTACCTGGACTCGCTAGAGGGCACAAACCTTAAGAGGGTTAAGGCTGGCAGCAGTCAGCAGAGATTTTTGAACATTCCAAATTGTTAGATGATACTGATACTTACATTCATAACTTACTATTTATAAAAATTTTGTTGTAAACTCGACAGATCTTATTGCCAATTGTACCATAAAATAATGTTGCAATTCATCCATCAGCGACCCTATATGTTTAACTGCATGTGAGGAGTATATCGTATTGTGATCGTAACCCATGATTCTCCTATACCACCAGGGGCTAATTTCGTTGGTGGAATCTGTCTATGCCACCTCATGAATCTCCAGCTAGTGGTTTCAAAAAATGCAGCCCACTAACTCAAAGTTTTGGGTTTGCTAGGCAAACCTTTAACTTTCAAATTATTCAATTAAGTCCTCAGTAACCAATGATTGTTATATAAAATATAATCAAACAAGGATGGGCTGTTTGCCACCTAATAAAATTACCCATCTTTATCAGTTCATGAATCATGTGGAACACCTTCTAGGCATCATTTTCACTTAGGAGGGATTGGTTGTAGAGATGGGTCTACATTGACTACTGTATTTAATGATCACGCTAAACTCGATGAGATTTACTAAAAATTTTGTGCGACTCCATTTTCGTTGGTCTCAAAGTTAGCTGGTCTCAAAGTTAGCATTATTGCTGCTCCCTATATAATATTGTCTGTAAAAGACAATGCAGCTGGACTTTATTTGAAAGAGGCACAGAATAGTTTTACCTGCCTTCTGCTGACAATGTCGTCATAAATACTGCAGCAACTCTAAACTCACTATCTATACTGTAAGCTGCCATAGATGTCATTACTAGCGAAGATAAGATTTCATTGATTGCAGTCATATATAATTAGGCATAAAGAAAAGTTTAGGGTTATTTTCATTAGTACTACCATTAACACAATCACAATTGTCAGGTTATTGTCACTAGTTAGGATAGTTTTTAGCTAATCTATATCTATATATATATATAAAATGCTACCCTATGCATTAAATAGGGTAGCATTTTATATATATTTAATATATAATAATATAATAATAATATATATTTATTATAGATAATTAAATATATATTTAATATATAATAATATATATTTATTATTATTTATTATTATATAATAATATACTGTTACAATTTTTTCTAATCTTTTCGTTTTTTTTTTCTTTATATATAATACCCTTTCATCTTCCTACTCATTTATATATAAACCCTCACTTTTCTCTACACCAATATATTATATTCTTCTCTTTATCTCTTTAATTTCATTTTATTAATATGGTGAGTTCCAATTTTATCTGTTCATATTCTTTGTCTTTTACTTCTTATTTTTATATTCTTAATTATTTTATCATTATTAGTTTTCATTATATACATAATATAATATAATGTAATGCATTAAAATGAAGGAAGATGAATAGATGCTTAAAATTTATGAAAAATAAATGCATGGGATTGTAATGCATAGCATAATCAGTATTTATACGATTACAATTTTTTCTAATTTTTTGGTTTTCTTCTTCTTTATGTACAATACATTTTCATCTTCCTACTCACCTATATATAAACCCTCAGTTTTCTGTACACCAATATATTATATTCTCTTCTTCATCTCTTCAATTTCATTTTATTAATATGGTGAGTTTTAATTTTTTTCTTTTTTGTTTCCTATTTTATATTGTATCTAAATATAATATTACGTTTTTATTTTATATATCTTTTTTCACCTTAATCTAAAATATGTATATTGTTGTATAAACTACTTTCCTTATTAATCTTATTATTTTTTTATGAATTTTTTTATAGAAGATATGATAATTGTTTTTTT